GCTGGAGCGGGGTAAGCGCGCCAGGGGGCCCTGCCCACCGGCCGCGGCCCGCGTCCGGGACCTCGGTCCCCGTCCCTCCCCGGCCAGGCCCCCAGCGGGTGGGCGGGCATATCGAGCGGGGGGGTGGGCGGGGCGCCGCGGTTTGTGCGTTTGGGAAGGTCCGTGGGCTTAGCGGGCCCAGGAGGGGCGCCCACAGCACAGCCCTTCCTGTGTGCGCATGGGGTCCTGGGGCGCAGGGCGCCTGGCTGGTCGCAGTCCCCTTGTCCCCGGCGACTCTGCGGGTGTCCGACTGGGACTCGGCTGTCTTTCCCGGGATCTGTCAGCGCTCGCCCTTACTCGGTTTCTACCGCATCTCTCCGTGCTTCTCTGCGTCTCTGACTCTGTCTCTGCGCCCCGCCCCCGCCCCGCAGACGTGTCCCGGGCGGTGGAGCTCCTCGAGCGGCTCCAGCGCAGCGGGGAGCTGCCCCCGCAGAAGCTGCAGGCCCTCCAGCGAGTCCTGCAGAGCCGCTTCTGCTCTGCCATCCGGGAGGTGAGAGCAGCGCGGCGCCGGGGCACAAGCGGGCGGCCGCCGTCCTGGTCGTCGCCCAAAGCCCAGGGACTACGCCTCCCAGCAGCGCCGGGGGCGGCCCGCTTGGGGGTGCCCGCGCTTCAGCCGCGGGGTTCTTCGGGAATTGTAGTTTCCTCGGGCTCCGGGTTGCTGGGGGCGGGGCCGATCCTCGGGTGGGAGGGTCTGCGGGCTGGACTCTGGAGTTGAAGGGAGGAGGGGCTGGCTGGTGGTTCCCTGATGCTGCCGTTGTCTTCACCAGGTGTACGAGCAGCTCTATGACACGCTGGACATCACGGGCAGTGCTGAGATCCGGGCCCACGCCACAGCCAAGGTAGGTACCCCCCATGCCATCACTCATGGTATCCACTGAACTGCCTGGTCTAGCTTAGTAACTTCCTAAAGTCAGTCATGCCTGTTTCTTCCTTCATGATTTTTGCCAAATCTATGTACTAGCGTTACTATTATTTACTGGTATTATAATCTCGTAAGTTGTACTTGAATGTCATATAACGGCATCTTTAGCAACTTCAAATGTGAACTCGTGCCGCATACCTGACAAGAAGATACCTTTTGGGGCGCCTGGGTGGCTCAGTCCGTTAGGCAACTACCTTCGGCTCAGGTCATGATCCTGGAGTCCCAGGATCACGTTCTGCGTCGGGCTCCCTGCTCAGCGGAGAGTCTGCTTCTCCCTCTGACTCTCCCCCCTCTCATGTGCTCTCTCTCAAATAAATAAATAAAATCTTAAAAAAAAAAAAAGAAGAAGAAGAAGAAGAAGAAACCTTTTAACACCTATACAATGAAATAGCATGAAACACTGAAATCTTATTAAACTATAGTTGTATGCTGTTTCTTGCTGCTTCCTGGAGGCTCTCAGCTCCTTCCAGGCCTTGTTTTTCTCTATTAAAAATCGAGATTGGCAAGCGTTGACTATTTAAGACACACTCACACCAGGTGGAGACATTCCCTTTGACATGTCTGAAGCATCCAGAGTGAATTAAGAGAGACTCATTACAATGCAAGCTTGTGCTGAACTGTGGCAGGTGTCCCCTGCGCGGGGAAAGTGATCTGGCCCAAATTGCTCTCCCTGGCCCAGATCCTCCCCGCTCATCTGCCTGCCCACCATGGAGCGGCCCTCACCTCCCAGTGCTTTCTCTCTCCCAGGCCACAGTGGCTGCCTTCACAGCCAGTGAGGGCCACGCACATCCCAGGGTAGTGGAGCTGCCCAAGACAGATGAGGGCCTGGGCTTCAACATCATGGGGGGCAAGGAGCAGAACTCCCCCATCTACATCTCCCGTGTCATCCCTGGAGGTGTGGCTGACCGCCATGGAGGCCTCAAGCGTGGGGACCAGCTGCTCTCAGTGAATGGTGTGGTGAGTGGGGACTGAGGCTGGGCTCACAGTCTGTTCAAGGTAGCACAGTCCCTGCTTTTGACATTCATTCAACAAGCAACGATAGAGTACTGCGTGCTGGGCACTGCTACAGACCCTGAGAGAAGTTTGCCTCAGCTCCTATATTCAAGGACTCCCTTCTTGGTGAGGGAGAGTGACTGGAATAGTCCTAATCTGGGGAGATAATAATGAGGAAGCACAAAGCACCGCGAGAGCCCGAATATGGTCTGTGGTGTAGATGAGGGAAGTTTTTGCAGAGAAAGGAACATTTGAGTTGGGTTTTGAAGGACGAGAAGGAGTTCTCCAGGCAAATAAAGTAGAGAAGACTATTAGCAGCTAAGGGTGTTGTAGGTAGGGGCTGTGACTCTACACTCCTCTGAGCTGAACAGAAAGGGCTTAGGTCTAGTGGAGGACTGGAGCACATAGTTACTTAAAATCACTGCGGTTAGAAATAGATGGCAGCACAGCTGGATCGGTAGTGGGGGCCGGCTACACAGGGCCTGAGTACCAGCCTGAGAAGCTGGGACTTTGTCTAAAGGGTTCTGGGGAGCCATGGGAAGGCTGGGAAGAGGAGATGGATAGGCTCAGCTTGGAGGTGTAGAAGGATCCCTTTGGGACTTTATAGGGGATGGACTGAAGGTAGAGACTGGAGGCCAAAAATTCTAGGGAGGAGGCTAGGTGAAAGTCCACTGGGGAGAGGATGAGGCCTGAGCTGGGGCCAGGGTGGTGGGGACAAAAAGGAGGGAGTCAGCAAGAGGGAGGGAGCTGGAGATTAGCAGGCTTCGGGGACAGAGGGGATAAAGATGGACCTGGAGGTCTAGCTTAGTGAGCGAGGGCAGATAGGGCTTGTCCCCGACATGAAAACCTTGGAAGTTTTTGAGGGAGGGCCCTGAGCCAAGAATTAATGACTCTCCCCTGAAGCCTCGAGGCCTTGACATCTCAGGCTGGTACCAGGCCCACCACCGGTAGGTCCCATTTCCACGGGTGGGGCTGGGTGTGGGTGGTAGGCCCCAGGCGCAGGTGTCTGTGCACTGCCCTGCAGAGCGTTGAGGGTGAGCAGCACGAGAAGGCAGTGGAGCTGCTGAAGGCAGCCCAGGGCTCGGTGAAGCTGGTGGTGCGTTACACACCTCGTGTGCTGGAGGAGATGGAGGCCCGCTTCGAGAAGATGCGCTCTGCCCGCCGGCGCCAGCAGCATCAGAGCTACTCGTGAGCCCTTTGCCACCACACCCCTGGGGCCTCCGTTGCCTCCTTTATCCCGAGTCCCAAACCAGGCCAGTGATTTCTGGGACCTTCCTGGCTACCCCCAGTCCTGGCTCCTCTCCCTGGGGTTCTGACCCTTGACCCCGACCCAGGCTCTCACAAGCCGTTCTGGCTACATCCTTTGGGGACTCCCAGCTCACTGTCATCCCAACATCTGCAGCCTACTCTCTGGAATCCCTCAGTCTGCTTCCCTGGGCCCCTGACTCTGGAACCCCAGTCCTGGTTCTCTCCCAAGCCTCCCCAGGTCCCCTCCCCTGAGCTTGGCTCCCATCTCTTCACCCTCTTTGCAGGTCCTTGGAGTCTCGAGGCTGAAACTACAGTATCTGGACCCTCACCCCGCCCCCTCCCCTGTACAGTATTTATTGTCACCGGCTCCTTATTTAAAGATCTTTGACCCTCACTGAGTGTCTGTGTGTCTGTCCTGCATCCTGGGGTTAGAGTGTCTTGGGATGTGGGGGAGGGAGAGAAGCTGAAGTCTAGAGCAGGTCCGGAAGAAACCCTTTTCAGAGTCTGAGAGCAGAGGTGGAGACTTTCCCCCAAGGTCTGAAGGCGGAGGCTGGCCGGCTTCCTAGGCCTAAGTCCAAGGCGGAGGCTGGGGCCCTGTCTGGGTCCGAGTGCGGGGTCATAACCGAAGACAACGCCCCCTGCCCTTAAAGACAGACCGAGGGCGAAGGCCAAGCCCCTTCTGTAGTTGATCTGACAGAGGAGTCCGGAGAAGCTGCAGAGCCGGTGGGCGGCCTCTGTGTGGGCGGGGTGGAGCGAACCATAAGCTTCGTTCGCCAGGGGAGCCCTGCAGGCCGTACTATCATCAGCGTGGGAGGTGGGGGTGCCGCGTGCAGTTCCCGAGGTGGGCGCAGGGGGTGCAGAACAAGGTGCACTCGCCGACCCGGCATTCACCCCACCCTCCAACCTGAGCGCGTGTCTCCGGGAGCCGCCCCCGCCTTAAAATCCAACCTTTACTCCCACCTCACCGCCGGTCCAGCCCTCGCGTCCCGTGCGGCGCCAGGGCCGGCGCGCGCCACCTCCGGGATCCGGGGTCGCAACTCGCATTCCACGCCGCGCGCCACTAGCTCCAGGTGACATCATCCCCCTGCCGGGCTCCGCCTCCCGCCCCAGCCGCCGCACGCCGCGCGCTTATTGGCCGGCGCTCTTCGAGCCCCGCCTTCCGCTCTCCGCCCGCGCGACCCCTCCCAGTCCGTGCGGAGGCGGGGTTTAGCCACCGGCCGGCGCCGACGACGCCTCCCATTGGCCATTCAGAGCCGTCTGTCAGTCTCCTGTTAAAGGGGCCACGACCGCACGGGAGCTGTGGGGGGGGGGGAGGGAGGAGGAATTTTTTTGGGGGGGAGGTGGGATTTGGGGGGCGCTGGTGGGCACCCCTGGATCTGGCGGCTGCGGCCTCGCGGGGGGGAGGCTGAACGGTGATAGGGGCAGGGGGCTATTTTAGGGGGTAGAGGGCTGTTAGACCGTGAGGGGGAGGGGGGGTCCCCAGCGCCCAAGCCGGAGCCAGAGACGCGGAGCCCGCGCGAGCGGCGGAGACAGGGCTCCGGAGCCACAGATTCGGGCCCCGGCCGCCGCCAGGGGCCCCGCCCGGTCCCCCCACCCCACCCCACGTCCCTCCTGCAGCCCAGCTCCGCCCGCAGCCGCCGCGGACCAGGTAGGTAAGAGCCCGGCCCAGCCCGCTTGGCAGCGCCCACCCCGGGGACCCCTCGCCGAGCCTCCCTCGCCTTCCCGAGATCCTGGACTCCCTTCTTTATCCCCGGGGGCTCCGGAGCCCAGATTTCACAGCCCAACCACAGAGACTCAGGCGTGCCCCTCCCGGCTCTCAGAGTCCCCAACCGAACCCTAGAATCCCAGGCGTACTGCCGCCTTGCGCCTCGTCCAGGGCCCAGGAGCCTGGATTTCCCAGTTCAGCTCCGGCAGCCCCCTCTGGACCTACATCCTCCTCCTCGGCCCATTCCCGGGAGCTCCAGACACCTGCCGTGGCTGTGTCAGACCCCCAGCTAGGGCCAGCTGCCCCCCGTCGGGTGTGCATCGTCCCCTATTCGTGCACCCGGTCTGCCCATCTCCAGCTTGAACAGCCAGCCTCCTCCCTCGGTCCAGGCCCGCTCGGCAGCCGCCCTGGACACAGGCCCGCTCTGGAGCTGTCCATGGTCAGCGCACTCGGCAGCCTCACCTCCCCCACGTCCTGCTGCTGCTGCCGCCGGGGAGGGGGCGCCTGCGGTTCGGGGAATACCCCCCGCCGCGCCTTTGACCCGGAGATACCCGGGGCCCTCTGCAACCCGGGCGCCTGGGCCTCAGGGTTCCTCTGGTGAGCCTCTCGTCTCGTCCTCAGTACCCCAGGTTTCTGGGACCCCAGCTGTTTCTTGAGGAGTCAGGGCTTCTGAATGTTCCTGCCTGGTCCACCTTAGGGACCTTGGCATCCAGGGATCTAGCTCCCACCTGGCTCTGGAAGCCCTGTCGGTGCTCACCCCGCCTGTCTGAAGGCCCCAGCTGGTAGCCCCCACTCGCTCAGGACCTGGGAATCCAGTTTCCCAGCTCTTGCCCCCTTTAGAGACCCAGTTCAACAGCCCCTGTGCCCCTCAGGCAAATAGACCCAGCCTCCTGACACCCCAGCACTGCCTGCTTAGGGATTCAGGCACCATGACTCTCTCCCTTTCAGGGACTTGGAATGCAGTTCTTAAAGCAAATCTCTGGCTTCTGCCCACCTTCCCCCTTGGAGACCTAGATGCTTTGTCTCTGGTCCTGAATCCCCTCAGGGACCCAGGAGTTCAGACCCCAGCTTCCGTATTGCCCACCAAAACCATCTGCCACAATCCTCCTTCCCAACAAGGACTCAGGCTCCAAGCTTCCATCCCCTGTCCTTTATCTCCACAACTATTCAGGAGTCCAGGCCCCCACCAAGTATCTAGCCTGTTAGCTCTTACTCTTAGGGACCCAGGTCCCCCCAGCCTCACAACCCCCATCAACTTGACATCTCTAGTGGCCTTAACAAACCTCTGCCTCATCCCCATATCATCTCAGGCACTGGGCTCCCTGGGGGTTCTCTTCTCTATTCCCTGAGACCCAGGTTCTTGAGATGTTTCCAGCACCCCATCATGATGTTTCTGTCGTGATGTCCCATCCTCTGAGTACACCTTCTCAGGCTGATGAGCCAAGCATAGACCCCTTCCTCTAGATGTGTTCTGTGACCTAGGTTCATTAGATGATCTAGAACTTATCCACTATCTTCCATATTTCCAGTTAACCTGTGCCCTTGCGATGCTCTAGATTCTTTCTAAATCTTAGAAATTAGATTCTTTATAATTCTTAGATTCTTTCTAAATCTAAATCTTAGAATGCTCTCAGTCAATATCTCTGTTCTGTTTTCACCCACGGAATGTTTTCAGTTCTAGGTTAGATGATAAAATCTAGGCATGTATTTCCCCAGGGGAATTCAAATGTCTTGATAATGCCCCCAAACCAAATTCTGATCCCACCTTCTCCTCACATATGTTCCAAATTTTTAGAAACCAATACTTGCTTATTCTCTGCTAAAATTTTATTTTAGGTGTGTTCTAGGTTCCAGCCACATCCTTGGCATTGTTCTAGATTCTGTTCTCCTCCCAGGGGCATTCTACATTCTGTGTAGAATATGTGTGTTCCAATTATGTGCTCTACCCTTTCTCCAAATTGCACTATCAATTTTATTTATTTATTTATTTATTTATTTATTTATTTATTTTTATTATTATTTTTTTAAAGATTCTATTTATTTATTTGACAGAGAGACAGTGAGAGAGGGAACACAAGCAGGGGGCAGTGGGAGAGGAAGAAGCAGGCTCCCCGCTGAGCAGGGAGCCCGATGCGGGGCTCGATCCCAGGACCCCGGGATCACGACCCGAGCCAAAGGCAGACGCTCAACAACTGAGCCACCCAGGCGCCCCGATTTATTTATTTTTAAAAAGATTTTATTTATTTATTTGACAGAGAGACACAGCAAGAGAGGGAACACAAGCAGGGGGAGTGGGAGAGGGAGAAGCAGGCCTCCCGCCGAGCAGGGAGCCCGATGCGGGGCTCGATGCGGGGCTCGATGCGGGGCTCGATCCCAGGACCCTGGGATCATGACCTGAGCCGAAGGCAGACGCTTAACAACTGAGCCACCCAGGCGCCCCTGCACTATCAATTTTAAAATGTACTTTCTTATTTTAGGTCCCATCCACTTCTACAGTCTTAAATCTAAAGGATTCTCACTGAAATGTAGTGCATCTTCCTTTTTCAGGTACTAGATTCTAGGCCCATCCATTCCCACCTTTTCTGTCCATCTTTTCCCTAATGTGACCTTCGTTTAGAACTTATCTCCTGGAGGACTGTGGGCTTCCTCCTCCATCTGGCACTTAAGCATTCTAAGCATGCTCTAGGCTCATCTCCTCTTTTGGAGTCTTCAGCTAGAAATGTCCTCATTTCCAGAACATCTCTTCCCCCTTCCTTTGCCAGCTCAGTCCTTATGCCAGTAAATTCTCAATTCCCAGCATGCTTCTGAATCTTCCCCCAGGCACTTTTAAGTTCCAGGCAAACTCCTTGCTACTTTCTAGGGTTTTCCCCCCCACCTCCAGGGAATGTTCTGAATTCTAGTGTCTATCTTTTGCCTTCTGTCTGTCACCTAGACACATGATAACACCAAGAGTGTGATCCCTGTTATATTCTTTGTTACACCTGCATCCCTGGTAGGTTCTGAGTTCTAGATGTCCCCTGACTAGGTTTGTCATGTGTTACATTAGGTATGTTCTTAGGTATCATCTTGCTCCCCTCTGTGTTTGGGGTTCTTCAGTGACCCAGACCACTCTTTCATTTATTGGATTGCTTTTGACTGGTTCAGGTTCCAGACCTAGGTTCTAGAATATGCCCCTCTACTTGGCCCTATGTGAAGATTTTACCCCAAGCGCACTGTACCTGTGGAAACACATGTCCTTTCTGCACTCTGTACTGTCTTCATGCCGTGGCTTTCTAGATCCTACACCCAGCCTTGCTAAATTTTATGTCCTTCTCAGTGAATTTGAAGTTCTAGAGCAGCTTCTCGGAAACATCCTGTGTTGCATCTCCCGAGTAGGTTCTGGATTTTAGATACCGTGTTGGTTTTGACCTCTCTCCTTATAAATATTGTCTTAAATCTGGCCTCTGAGTGCTGGCAAAGACCCAAGGGTGTAGGCATCTAGCTGCCTTCACTCCCAGGTTCCAGGGCCCTCCATCCCCCTCCTCTTCTCATTGAAGTCCAAGACCCCAGTTCCAGGTTTTGGACATAGTGTGCACACTGGGTGGGGCTGGGAACTATTCGCTGTCAGAACCGGTTATGCCGCTGCCTGGAGGGAGAGAAGGAAAGGAGGGAATAGAGTGAAAGTCTCTCCTGCTTTCGACCAGGCCAGATGGACCCGTCTGACCTGATGTGTGTGGAGGGAGCGGCTCAGGAGACCTCCCTTCATCTCCGCCCACGGCTCATGCACCTAGATTCCTGGGTCCTGGGGGCCTGGACTCTGGGGTTCTGGAGGAAGAGGGGTCTGAAGACTGGGATTTCTGGGTCTGAGGTTGGAGGTTGAAAACTCAGATTCTTGTGTCCCTGTCTGACCCCCAGGATTGGGGAAGAGGTGGCTGAAGGCTCAGACTCCGGGGTCTAGGGGAGAGAAGGGAATTGGGGACCCAGCCTCCTGTGGCCTGAGGTAGGAGGGAGCTGGATCTTGGACTCCTGGGTTGAGGGAGCTGGCTAGCAAGTGGAGTGGCTTTTAGATTCTTTTGGAGCTGCGGTCCAGATATCTGGGACATTGGGGGCAGGAGTTGGGCTGGATAGATGAGGACCATCCCCGTGACCCTGTTCTGGTACCAATGACCTAATTCTGTGGCCCCAGTTCTTTGACCTCCTGAAGGCATGGTTCTCAGCTGGGCTTGTCTTCTTACTCATGCGGTGGGTTAATGGGCATTCCCAGCAGGGTCAGAATAGGTAGACTGATTTTCCCACATTGACTCAGGCAATGGGTCACCTGGCTTTGGTTTCTCTGACTAGGCTGGTCCTAGATTTGCTGCCAGTGCCTGGTGGGTTTCAGTTAATCCTGTGC